TGTGTGTGTGTGTGTGTGTGTCCCCTAAAAATATCCCAAGCTGCAATCCACTAAACCATAATTAAACCCACCGATTTAACCAGTTTTAAGCTAATCTAAGCTCAGTATAAACCTGTCCAATTGCCATATGTTAACCTGCTCCTAACTCACCCTCACTCGTTTAATCCTTGAGTTTAATCCATCGACCTAACCTAACCTAACTTAACCTAACATAAACAACATTTACAGTATATGGAACATTTACACAAGGAATATCATACAATGTTTTGAAGGCATTTACCAAGAATCATTTACAATATTACAAAGGCATTTATAGAGAGACATTTACAGTCTTATGAAGGTATTTGGAGACCCGACACTTATTTACAGAACTGCCGGGACCAGCCAATGAAAACATGACTTTAATGATATGGCTGAATGCGTCTGGTTATTGTTTCAGCACATAACACCAATCGCGCCTCACCGCCCTTCTTTACTCTGCATTGTGGTTACGTTAGGTTTGGTTAGGTTAATGGGGTGATGGAATGGGCTTGCAAGGGTGGGGTGTACTGGGATAGGGTACTGGGGGAGAGTCCTAGGGTGGGAGATACTGGGGTAGGGTGCTGTGGGGAGGGTAATAGGGAGAAAGTATTTGGGGAGAGTACTGGGGTGGGGTGCTGGGGGTAGGGTGCTGTGGGGAGGGTAATAGGGAGAAAGTATTTGGGAGGGTACTGGGGTAGGGTGGGGGTGCTGGGGTAGGGTGCTGTGGGGAGGGGTAATAGGGAGAAGGTGTTGGGGAGGGTACTGGGGTGGGGTGGGGTGCTGGGTGCTGTGGGGAGGGGTGATAGGGAGAAGGTATTTGGGGAGGTACTGGGGTAGGGTGGGGTGCTGGGGAGGGGTGTCTGGGGAGGGTGATAGGGAGAAGGTATTTAGGAGGGTGCTGGGGTAGGGTGGGGTGCTGGGGAGGGTGTGCTGGGAGGGTAATAGGGAGGGTACTGGGGTAGGGGGGGTGCTGGGGTAGGGTGCTGTGGGGAGGGAGGGGAGGACTGGGGTAGGGTGGGGTGGTGGGGTGCTGGGGAGGGTAATAGGGGGACTGGGGAGGGTGGGGTGCGGTTAGGGTGCTGTGGGAGGGTGATAGGGAGAAGGTATTTGGGGAGGGTACTGGGGTGAGGGAGGTACAGTTGCCAGCAAAAGTCCTCCCACAGCCCTGTGTAGCATGGCTGTGGGAGGACCTTTGCTGCTGTACATAGGTGTAGGACGGGGCCGGGGTGGACACAATGTATTCACTACGCCTCTGAAACAAATACAAAAACAGGTAATATATGCTAATGTATTTTCTGCTGCAGGAATACATTTCTCTCAAGCTCCTGAAGGTGACGACGTCCTTCCTGAAGCTGTACTCTGGAGGGATTACCGAGTGTATGAAGCAGGAGGGAATTCTGATGAGGGTTAGGGTGAGGAGGATTAATTACCTGGGTGGAGGACTAATTGCCGGGTGGGGACTAATTACCTGGTTGGCTAGTTGTTGTGGTGTTTAAAGTTGTACAGTGTTAGCTAATTGTGATTACCTAACATAACCTAACCTAACCTAACAACCTAACCAAATATATTCTAATGTAACCTAACCTAATCTAATCTAACCTAATCTAGCCTAACCTAATCTAATCATCTAGCGTAACCTAACCTGGGAGAGGAGGGATGAGGGGTGAACCTAGGGGAAGGAGGAGAAGGGAGAAGTAGAGAGGAGGGTGAGGTGAGGTGAGGTGAGGGTGAGGGTGTGAGGTGAGGGTGTGAGGAGTGAGGTGAGGTGAGAGGACTGATGGGTGAGGAGGTGAGGGTGTGAGGAGTGGGGGTGAGGTGGAGACAGTTTGAGGGCATCGAGCCATAGCGCCTACGGTCGTGGTGTGTTCCTGTGGCATCCATCAAGGCGCCTCTGCCGACCAACTGGTAATTTTATGCTACACGCGAGGGTGAAGGTTCCGCGGAGCGTGGCGGTGTGGGGAACGATGGGTGTGGTGGCGGTGTGGGGGAACGATGGTGTGTGGTGGGGGGATGGTGTGGTGGTGTGGAACGATGGTGTGGTGGTGTGGCGGGTGGGAACAATGGTGTGTGGTGGTGGTGTGGGGAACGATGGTGTGTGGTGGTGGTGTGGGGAACGATGGTGTGTGGTGGTGGCGGTGTGGGGAACGATGGTGTGTGGTGGCGGTGTGGGGGCAGTGGTGTGTGGTGGTGGTGGGAGATGGTGTGTGGTGGTGGTGTGGGGGACGATGGTGTGTGGTGGTGGGGGAACGATGGTGTGGTGGTGGTGGCGGTGTGGGGAACAATGGTGTGTGTGGTGGTGGTGGTGGTGTGGGGGAACTGGTGTGTGGTGGTGGTGTGGGGGAACGTGTGTGTGTGGTGGTGGTGGCGGTGTGGAGACGATGGTGTGTGGTGTGGTGGGTGTGGAGACGATGGTGTGTGGTGGTGGTGGCGGTGTGGGGACGATGGTGTGTGGTGGTGGTGGCGGTGTGGGGGAACGATGGTGTGTGGTGGTGGTGGCGGTGTGGGGAACGATGGTGTGTGGTGTGGTGGTGGCGGTGTGGGGGGTGTGGTGGTGGTGTGGGGAACGATGGTGTGTGGTGGTGGTGTGGGGGAACGATGGTGTGTGGTGGTGGCGGTGTGGGGGAATGATGGTGTGTGGTGGTGGTGTGGGGAACGATGGTGTGTGGTGGCGGTGTGGGGAACGATGGTGTGTGGTGGTGGTGGCGGTGTGGTGGGGAATGATGGTGTGTGGTGGCGGTGTGGGGGGCGATGGTGTGTGTGGTGGTGTGGGGAACGATGGTGTGTGGTGGTGGTGGCGGTGTGGGGGAACGATGGTGGTGGTGGCGGTGTGGAGACGATGGTGTGTGGTGGTGGTGGCGGTGTGGGGATGATGGTGTGTGGTGGTGGTGTGGGGAACGTGTGTGGTGGCGGTGTGGAACGATGTGTGTGGTGGTGGTGGCGGTGTGGGGGAATGATGGTGTGTGGTGGCGGTGTGGGGACGATGGTGTGTGGTGGCGGTGTGGAACGATGGTGTGTGGTGGTGGTGGCGGTGTGGGGAACGATGGTGGGTGGTGGCGGTGTGGAACGATGGTGTGTGGCGGTGGTGGCGGTGTGGGGGAATGATGGTGTGTGGTGGCGGTGTGGGGGAACGATGGTGTGGTGGCGGTGTGGGGGAACGATGGTGTGTGGTGGTGGTGGCGGTGTGGGGAACGATGGTGGTGGTGGCGGTGTGGGGGAGATGGTGTGTGGTGGCGGTGGTGGCGGTGTGGGGAATGATGGTGTGTGGTGGTGGTGTGGGGGAAGTTGTGTGTGGTGGCGGTGTGGGAACGATGGTGTGGTGGTGGTGGCGGTGTGGGGAATGGTGTGTGGTGGCGGTGTGGGGGAACGATGGTGTGTGGTGGCGGTGTGGGGAACGATGGTGTTGTGGTGGTGGCGGTGTGGGGAACGATGGTGGGTGGTGGCGGTGTGGGAACGATGGTGTGTGGTGGTGGTGGCGGTGGGGGTGGTGTGTGGTGGTGGTGGCGGTGTGGGGGAACGATGGTGGGTGGTGGCGGTGTGGGGGAACGATGGGTGTGGTGGTGGTCGAGCGTGGCGGTGTGGGGGAACGATGGTGTGTGGTGGTGGTCGGAGCATGGCAGTGTGGGGGAACGATGGTGTGTGGTGGTGGTGGCGGTGTGGCGAACGATGGTGTGTGGCGGTGGTGCTGTAGTGCCCCGGGTCTTGATGGATGGTCCTGTGTGTGTGTGTGTGTGTGTGTGTGTGTGTGTGTGTGAGTGTGAGGATCCCGGAAGAATCTCCACCCAAATTTATTTCTTAAGACTAACTACCTTAACGCTATTTGAGGGGTGTTAGGTTAGGTTAGAGTTACGTTAGATTACGTTACGTTACTTTACGTTAGAGTTAGGTTAGATTAGAGTTAGGGTGGTTAATCTACAGGTGAACTAATCCGGGGTGGTGATTCTTTAGTTGATCGACATAACCGAAGAAATTACCAAAAATATAAATTACGAGATATAAGTAAATTATTATAACATTACTAAAATATGATTATTTAAACAGATGGCAATAGTGATCGAGGCAGTGTTACCAAAAGCACGAGAGAACAAGTAATAGGTAGTTATCTTTAGTTGGCAATACTTATGTTTAGACAGGTAGTGTAATGGGTATCAACCATGGCAGTAGAGGTGGAGGAAACGGGTATTGACACTTCCGATGGCTGGCTGGCTGACTGGCTGGCTGGCTGGCTGGCTGGCTGGCTGGCTGGCTGGCTGGCTGGCTGGCACAGAAGAGAGGAAGATGAAAGGAGGTGTGAGAGGTGAGGGAAGACAGGTACAAGAGTTGTTGAAGGTGTGAATATAAGGTGAGATATACAGGTTACCTCACAACAACAACTATTGGTGAGGTGAGGGTGAGGGGGGGTGGGTGAGGGTGAGGGGGGTGGGTGAGGGTGGGGGTGGCTCAAGGCTCAGTACACACAGGGACTGAATCAAATTAGAACCGGAATGAGATTGGAGAGTGATGTGGTCTTTATACATAGATATCGATGGTATTTAAGCACCCCAACCCAGCAACAACAACCAACAACAACAACAACAACAACAACCCAACAACAACAACAACAACAACAACAACAACAACAACACAACCAACAACAACAACAACAACAACAACAACAACAACAACAACAACAACAACAACAACAACAACAACAACAACAACAACAACAACCACAACAACAACAACAACAACAACACAACAACAACAACAACAACCAACAACAACAACACCAACCCAACGACAACAGCAACAACAACAACAACAACAACCAACAACCTAAATCCTTCTCATGTTGATATTATTGTTGTTTTTCACTATTTATCATGATTTTTCTACCTATATAAACTGTTTCAATGTGGTGATTCGATGGATAGTATTACATAAACAAATTACTGTATCATTATGTAACTATGACAGTACTGTATCCTTGTCTCTCGTTACAGGGCAGCAAGGAAGGTTCGTTCTTGTGGATGGTTAAGAGAGATCCACCTTCCTATTTCTTCGGGACCATCCACGTGCCCTATACCCAGTGTGGGAACATATCCAATAACACCAAGCGCGCCTTCCGCCTCAGTGACAATGTGTTCTTTGAGCTGGACCTGACGGATCCCTACACGGTGTCGGCTCTCACCACCTGCCAGCTCCTCCCAAGGGTAAGTGTCACCACCCTAGCTTATTTCACCTAACCTAACCTAATCTAATCTAACCTAACCTAACCTAATCTAACCTAATCTAACCAGCTCCTCCCAAGGGTAAGAATCACCACCCTAGCTTATACCACCTGGAGATTAACCTAACCTAACCTAACCTAACCTAACCTAAACTAATCTAACCTAATCTAACCTAATCTAACCAGCTCCTCCCAAGGGGTAGAATCACCCACCTGACATACCACCTGAGTACCTAATCTAACCTAGCTAACTAACTAACCTAACTAACCTAACCTAACCTAATCTAGCCTAATCTACAGCTCCTCCCAAGGGTAAGTGTCACCACCAGCATACCACCTGGAATTCCAACCTAACCTAACCTACTCCTACCTAACTACCTAACCTAACCTACCAACTACATATTCTGTACTTCTGTTTGTGTCTACATGACTGGCCGTGTCTTGTATCCAACATGGGGTAAAAATATGGACTCCTGTGTTTTATATCATTAATCATTCTTAGTGTGTGTGTGTGTGTGTGTGTGTGTGTGTGTGTGTGTGTGTGTGTGTGTGTGTGTGTGTGTGTGGTGTGTGTGTGTGTGTGTGTGTGTGTGTGTGTGTGTGTGTGTGTGTGTGTGTGTGTGTGCGTGCGTGTGTGTGTGCGTGCGTGCGTGCGTGATTGGGTACAAAGATATTAGCACCTCGGTAAAGTTACTGAGACACCGCTGCTGTACTGGGTGATCACACACACACACACACACACAAGGACTGATGCCATTATCGGACAAAAGAAAAACTGTCCGTTAAATAATATAATCGGATTAAGTGAAGTCTTCTGAGCGACCATAGGGGAGGAATAAGTGGAGAGAGAGACGGTGAGATTTTGCACTAATCTCAAACTAAAACAAACACACACACACACACACACACACACACACACACACACACACACACACACAGACACACAAGCAGCATTTTCTACCACTTCCTACTAATAAAAAGTTATGTACATGTTAGTTACAATTTCTCATGTCTACTCCATCATCTTGTGTGTGTGTGTGTGTGTGTGTGTGTGTGTGTGTGTGTGTGTGTGTGGTGTGTGTGTTTAGTCATGGTGGTGCTGGAGGGTTGGGGGTAAATTATATATGGTGTTAAGTCATTTTAGCCAAGTAGTCATAAGCTCTCAGGTGACTCGATATATTTCACCTGAGAGGAACGAACTGGTCAGGTAATTCAAGGAGGTGATGTTAATAGACTCTATGGTGAGGAGAATGAAGTCAGGTCATTGTGGTATAGAGTCATTATAGAGGAGTAGACCATCAAGCAGCTGGTAAACAGAGAGCCATTCACGGGAGACGAGTGAGGGGATGTTGCTACACTATCAAGGGCTCTCTCTCTCTCTCTCTCTCTCTCTCTCTCTCTCTCTCAGGTACACATCTCTTCTTAATCGACTAACTTGTCTTACTAATTATTGTTAAATGTTGTCAATTATCACAGTTCGTTATTGTGGGTCTACAAATTTTATAATATATAATACTGAAGGGTTAATTTCCTTGTGATATAGTATATGGGGAAAAAATAGCGTTGCTTATTTACACATTTTTCCCTTGTACAGTCCCCTTCACTTGTGCGTTTACAGGGGCTCATCATATAGCCTAGGTACAGTCCCCTTCACTTGCACGTTTACAGGGCTCATCATATAGCCTAGGTACAGTCCCCTTCACTTGCACAGGGGCTCGTCTATAGCCTAGGTACAATCCCTTCACTAGCACGTTTACAGGGGCTCGTCATATAGCCTAGGTACAGTCCCTTCCTTGCACGTTTACAGGGGCTCATCATATAGCCTAGGTACAGTCCTTCACTAGCACGTTTACAGGGCTCATCATATAGCCTAGGTACAGTCCCTTCACTTGCACGTTTACAGGCTCGTCATATAGCCAGGTACAGTCCCTACCAGCACGTTTACAGGGGCCTAGGTTAGGTGCAGTGTGGCAACGCTGTGTTTGTTTACATTCAACAGAAGGAAACTCACAATAGTAAACACACTATGGAATCAAAGTAAAACAATATTAAAACAAATATCTCAATGATAATGATTTGTGGAATGCTTATATGACGAGCCCTGTAAACGTACAAGTGAAGGGGACTATACAATGTTCCCATGTATTTTCATTTCCTATGTATGATGTATTAATAACCACACCATGTATACACCCTATGTATGATAGTAATTATGTCCACACCATGTATACACCCTATGTATGATGTATTAATAAGGTCCACACCATGATATAAACCCTATGTATGATGATTTAAGGTCCACACCATGTATACACCCTATGTATGATGTATTAATAAGGTCCACACCATGTATACACCCTAGTATGATGTATTAATAAGGTCCACACCATGTATACTAACACCATGTATGATGTATTAATAAGGTCCACACCATGTATACACCCTATGTATGATGTATTACAAGGTCCACACCATGTATACACCCTATGTATGTCTTGATGGTTGTGTCCGCAGGGTAAAAACTTGTCGGACGTGTTGCCTGGAGAGCTGTACACGAGGCTAAAACGTCATCTAGCTTACGTCAAGACCCAGATGCCTCGCTGGATCACCCCTGACCAGCGTAAGGAGGTCTCTATGCTGACTATCTCTTCAACGCTATTACCGGTAAGTGGTGGTTTTTATACGTTCCTTCTGCCCCTTCTGCAGGAGTGGGCTGTTGGTAATGTCTCCTGTGTTAGTTTTAAGTCCCTTCTGCACCTTCTGCAGGAGTACTATGAAGGGCTGTTGGTAATGTCTCCTGTGTTAGTTTTAAGTCCCTTCTGCCCCTTCTGCAGGAGTACTATGAAGGGCTGTTGGTGATGTCCTGTGTTAATTTTAAGTCCCTTCTTCCCTTCTGCAGGAGTACTAGGAGGGCTGTTGGTGATGTTCCTGTGTTAGTTTTAAGTCCCTTCTGCCCTTCTGCAGGAGTACTATGAAGGGCTGTTGGTAATGTCTCCTATGTTAGTTTTAAGTCCCTTCTGCCCTTCTGCAGTAGTACTATGAAGGAAGTATGTCTCCTGTGTTAGTTTTAAGTCCCTTCTGCCCCTTCTGCAGGAGTACTATGGAGGCTGTTGGTAATGTCTCCTGTGTTAGTTTTAAGCCCCTTCTGCAGGAGTACTATGGAGGACTGTAGTTAATGGTCTCCTATGGGCTTGTTTCTTTATGCCATTTTGCCTCTGTCTACCCAGCAGTAATTGTACTTTCCACAACAGTTGTACTTCCGTTATATGTTGTATCATATTGTTGTTGTACTTCCCGTATTACTGTTGTTGTACTTCCAATATCAGCTGTACTTCCCATGACAACTGTATCCGCTAGTTATCGTACTTCACATACCTGTTGCACTTCTCTTGTAAACATGACACCGGGAACCAGATTTAGACTTGAGCAATTTCAATGCTGCATTAAGGTCGAATCTCTCCTTGTAATGAGTGTGATCATGGACCTTATTACCATGTTGTGATAAGAGTTTGCATCATGTTATCTACTGAGTACTGTATATAAGAGAGGATAGATAGATAGATGGAGGAAAGAGAGGATAGAGAGAGAGGGATAGAGGAAGAAAGAGAGAGGATAGATAGAAGAGAGGATAGAGAGGATAGACCGACAGACAGTAGTATCATAACATGTAAATAACACAAAAATAAGACGCTTTATCCCTCCATATAAGACAGTAAACACGACCATTATTTACCTTATAAACTGACCACATCACTCTACCTGAGATAACGACTTGGGAGGATCACTGTCTGGTAGAGCCTGATGGATGGTGGTGGTTGATGGTGGTTAATGGTGATGGTGGTTGGTGTTTGGTGGTGGTGGTTGATGGTGGTTAATGGTGAGTGGTTGGTGTGGTGGTTGGTGTGTGGTTGTGATGTGGTTTGGTGGGTGGTGTGGTTGTTCTTGGTTGTGGTGGTGGTGGTTGTAGGTGATGTTTATTAGTGGTGGTAGTTGTGGTAGGTCAAATCCTGTGTTACTACCTTTCTCGCGTCTTTACTTATTATTAAACCATAAAAACAAAATATTCCTCAAATAACGATCGAATTGGCAGTTATCTCCGAATCACCGTAGGAGAGGAAGATTAACTAGATAATGAACGATAATAACAGTGTGTGGCGTAGCGGGGATAAGGGATTTGTGTGGTGGGGGAGGGGGGAGGAGGGGGAAGGGAAGAGGGGGGAGACAAATGGCTACAATTTCTTTCCGTCGCTGCTAGATGCTCGTCTCTGGCCTAATCCCTTCATCAGACTCAGATTATAACCTCTGTATTATACTCGGTAATCAGACTTCATATATTAAGTCATATATATTAAGTACGAGTATATCATTATCAGATATATTACCACCAATTTTATATCGAATCTAAATATAATAAAATCATATGACGTTCATTGTAGACGTTGTGTATAATGATTGTGTCGGTATATAGGGGTCAAACTTAATGTCCAGGTGTGTGTAGTAATTATTGTTCTCACCTGGGAGTGGTGTTAGGTTAGGTTAGGGTGTGGTGTTAGGTTAGGGAGTGGTGTTAGGTTAGGTTAGGGTGTGGTGTTAGGTTAGGGAGTGGTGTTAGTGATATGTCATGGTGGAGTAAGTTGGATACCATCCTGAACTTCCTTCACCCCTCCTCTCCCACATCGGCCTCCCTATCTTGCCCCTATCCACTTCCCATCCTCACATCCTCCCCCTATCCACCTCTCCCCCCCTATCTCCCCATTCACCTCTCACCACCCATCCTCCCCCTCACCTCACCACCCTCCCCACCCACCCCACCTCATCCCCACTCCCTCCCCCCACCCTCCCCAGTGTCTCAGGGCCAGGTAAACTGTCCCCATTCCTAAGTGGCCCCCATTAGTACTCTATTTTGTGAGGCGGCTTGGCTGAGGTAAGGACGGCCCCTGTGTCTTGGAATTGATGAGTCTCGCTGGTGTCGGGGAGGCTGAGGTTTTGCCTGATTCCTTCTCCTCGGTCGCTCTTTCTTCCTTCGGTCGCTCTACTTCCTTCTTCTTCGGTCGCTCTACTCTTCGGTCGTTTTTCCTTCCTCGGTCGCTCTACTTCCTTCCTTCGGTCGCTCTCTACTCCTTCGGTCGCTCTACTTCATTCGGTCGATCCTTCCTTCCTCGGTCGTTCCTTCCTTCCCTGGTCGTTCTCGTCTTCACTCATTCATTCATTCATTCATTCGTACATTCATTCATTCCTCCCTCCTGTCTCTTCTTTCTGACACAACACACACACACACACACACGGGGTAGACAAGAGGTGACATGTACACGAGTTTCACCACGTCATCAAGAGATACTATCAGGCCCATAGTGACGTCCCAGGCAGGTCACTCTCCTATCAAGCCATGAATTTACATCCATTTGTTTACGATATCAACTAGGGGGGTGGAGGGAGGGGTGAGGCGAAGGAATAGGGATGAAGGAGGGAGGGGGGTGATGAAGGGATGGAATTGAGGGAGGAAGGGGTGAGGAGGGATGGGGTAAGGGAGAAGGGGTGGGGGAGAGAGGGGAGTGGTCGTCGAATTTACATAGCATCCAGTGGTAGCCCGAAGCAAGGTCGTCTACCTGTCAGCCATAGATTTGTGTTGTAGCTGGACCCTCGTGTACCCTCTAGCGTCGTGGCTGTCGTGTTGTGGGGTCCCTCTTGCGTCGTGGGGTCCCTGTCGTTGTGGGGTCCCCCTGCGTCGGGGTCCCTGTCGCGGGGTCCCTCCGCGTCGTGGGGTCCCTGTCGAGGGGTCCCTCGCGTCGGGGTCCCTGTCGGGTCTGCGGTCCCTCTCGCGTCGGGGTCCCCGTGTTGTGGGGTCCCTCTCGCGCTGTGGTCCCTGCTCGTGTTGGGGTCCCTGTCGTGTTAGGGGTCCCTCTCGCGCCAGGGGTCCCTGTCGCGTCGTGGGGTCCCTGCTGTTGTGGGGTCCCTCTCTCATCATGGGTCCCTTCTGGGCCTCGTGTTAGGGCCCCTCTCGCGTTGTGGGGTCCCTCTTGACGTACAGTACATATGTCTGTCTAAACGTACATTCATTCCTATCTAAACATACTTTCATTCTGTCTAAACATACATGTCTCTGTCTAAACGTACATGTCTCTGTCTAAGCGTACATTCATTCCTATCTAAACGTACATGTCTCTGTCTAAGCGTACATGTCTCTGTCTAAACGTACATAATTTCTCTGTCTAAACATACATTCATTCCTGTCTAAACATACTTTCATTCCTGTCTAAACGTACAATAGTTCTCCCGTCTCAGCCTCTATATAATGAGGCTCCGTGTTAAGTGGTGGGTCCTGCTTCCCATAATCTGTTTGGTTCTAACACTGAGAGATTCACCCAGGCTGTACCAACGCCCTTGATAGACCCTCGCCAGCTTGGTAATTTGGTGCTGATCAAAGGCACGCTTCCCGCCCCCTCCCATCTTTGCTACTACTACTACTATGGCTGCTACTACGACTATTACTGCTACTATTACGGTTACTACTTCTACTGCTGTTGCTACTACTACTACTACTACTACTTCCAACAAAGGGTGTTTATCAGACCCCAGTGATCATATTATGGCAATGAATATTACAGAGTATTTCCAGTACATTATTTAAGTCTGTACATAGAATTATGATTAGGTACTAGATGCCAAGTGGGATACAGCCTTGGTATATCATCTATCTTGCCATCAGAGGTAAAGTGCTGTGCCATAGTGTGCTTGGATCTACCCTATATAATCTAATTTTATCACAGTCAACGATGTAGTGTGTGGCCGTATGTCTGTGGGTCAGGGTGGTGAGGGTGGTGGGTCAGGGTGGTGGTAGGTCTGGTAGGAGGTAAGGGCGGTGGGTCAGGGTGGTGGTAGGTCTGGTAGGAGGTAAGGGCAGTGGGTCAGGGTGGTGGTAGGGTGTCAGGAGGGGCATGACTTGTAGTGTGTGGTACGGGTGTAGTCACTAGTCATCTGTCTGTCACACCCTCGTTATCACCATCACCATCATACCCGCTTTTTTTATTTTCGAGGAAGGTGAAGGGTAGTTAGCGCTCTGACAGGTGTGTGTGCTTGTTTGGCTGGGTCGTTTATTAGATTACATCAGTGGTTTGAGGAGGAGGTTACGTGTTGGGGGCAATATCTGTGTGTGTGTGTGTGTGTGTGTGTGTGTGTGTGTGTGTGTGTGTGTGTGTGTGTTGTGGTTGTGTGTGTGTGTGTGTGTGTGTGTGTGTGTGTGTGTGTGTGTGTGTGTGTGTGTGTGTGTGTGTGTGTGTGTGTGTGTGTGTGTGTGTGTGTGTGTGTGTGTGTTGTGGTGTTGTGGTGTGTGTGTGTGTGTGTGTGTGTGTGTGTGTGTGTGTGTGTATTGTGGTTGTGTTGTGTGTGTGTGTGTGTGTGTGTGTGTGTGTGTGTGTGTGTGTGTGTGTGTGTGTGTGTGTGTGTGTGTGTGTGTGTGTGTGTGTGTGTGTGTGTGTGTGTGTGTGTGTGTGTGTGTGTGTGTGTGTGTGTGTGTGTGTGTTGCACGTTACTACCAATGGAACATAAAAGAACAGATACAACTCTTAAGACACATATATTTTTTGTTTGCTTTTACAACTTTAATAAATTGTGTTGTATATTATTGCATAGTGATGTTTACATGGGAGGTGTGGCAAGATGTGGCC